ATATATATATATATATATATATATATATATATATATATATATATATATATAAATAGAATACAAATCATGTGGCTAATAACAACCCTTTCAAGCGTACTGGATCCACCAAGAGATCACGTGTGTCAGGGATTGATTAAAATAGATGCAATAAACTGACGACGAACAGTACGAAACTAGTAACTAACTAGCCTAAGCGCTTTCGACTCTTAATGAGTCTTTTTCAAAGGCAAATACAAAACATATATACGACAAACAAATAAACACAAACATGTTTTGTTTGTAAACCTCTACATGGCTGTCTCCACATGTGTAAAAACTATAAATACAACCAGCTTGTAAAGACTAGTTTCGGAAACTGAAAACAGTGTATAATTCCCAAAAAATCTACAAGCCAAAGCGAGATCTATTTTTACTTTTTGTACATTTATGTAACGCAGATTATATCCCGGATATTTGATTCTATACCAGTTATTCGTATAGTAAAAATTGAAGGATAATAAGAAGATTTAGTAAATCTTAAATTCTACTAGTGCATAGTTTTCATTTTTTTAGTCTTCTTGGTTTAGACCGCTTGGTTTCAATGTTCTAAGGCGGCTTATCCAGTATGGATCCATTTCCTTCCTGGTTTCGGAACTCCAGCTGTGGTTGTTAGCAATAGCGATAAGTATTATATCACTGAAAGTATGGCCAGGGGAGGAGAAGTGTTCTGCGACCGGGCTTCTGTACAGCTTTTTTGTCATCCAATCAGATCTATGAAGGTTTATCCTTTTGTGTAGCTTTTCAGTTTCTCCGACATACTGAAGGCCACAGATCTTACATGTGATGAGATAAATCACATTCTCTGTTTTGCACGTTTTGTTTGGACCATATATGTTTAGTTTTTCTTTAGTCACTGTGCTAGTGAATGTCTTGGTCTCTATCATATGTTGACAGGTTTTGCATCTTTTATCGCCGCAGGGTCCAGATTGACTAAGTTGGTTTTGACTAGCGATTGGCGTTAGCTTTGCCCTGACTACGATGTCCTTTAGGTTTATTGGTCTCTGGCAAGCTACTACAGGTTTGTTCGGAAGTATTAGTTTTAGTATGTCTGACGATTGCACGGTTGGTCAATGGTTTGCGATGATTTTACCTACTTTGGGATTGTCTGGGTGATAGGTCAGAATAAATGGTATCCTATCAACCTTTTCTTTCTGTCCATATCTGACTAGGTCATCACGGTTTGTTTGTTTGGCCCTTTGGCCTAACGTGGCTGTGAATTTTGTTTGTTTGGCCCATGAACAGCCAAAAAAAAAAACAAAGGATGGAGCAGACTGGGAAGTTACGCCGACTGCTCTTAATAAGAAGATGATAAAAGCAACAACCTCCACAACATCGTACAAACTACTATACCAAAACAGACGATGAAAAGCGGCGATGAAAAGACAGCACTCTACCGATAACCAGTCATGCAGAGGCAGACAAATATTACAGACCGCATGCAGCATAATACCAACAGACATTCATGCCAAACCGTCTATAAATAGAAACCACATGGCACACACCTAAACCAAGGTCCAATTTAGCACAGCATTACAACGGACAAAGGGAAAATCTAACCCGTTCCGGTCGGGCTCGAAACAATTGCCAAACAGAAAAGATTTAGTAACTCTTTCTAGCCAAATTGAAAAGATTGAATTGACTTTCAAGAAATTGCCAAACAAACCTCAAATCAAGGAGCGGATCAGGCGGTACAGTCTACCTCCCCATAAGACCCATCGGACAATGTCGCCCTATTCGATGAATAGGACCCCCACCCACACAAATGAAGGGACAGTTCAGGCGGCTCTACCTACTTCCCCATAATACCCTCCGGACAACGTTGCCTTATTAGATGAATAGAGCCACTCCCACCACACCCACCCCAAAAAACAAGGGGCAGTTCAGGCGGCTCCGCATACTGTCCCACGAGACTTCCCGTAAAATGTAGCCCCTTTTCCAGGAAAGCCCTTTCCCCATAATCCAACTCTAGGGTCACAGTTTAGCAAAAGAGGACCCGGGCCATTAAAAATAACGTGACTCATTAGAACTCCGTCAAAAACACATAAATTAACATTCACATTCTCTACTCTTAATATTCCATTATTCGTTACATAAGTACGTCCAGTACGAAATTCGGACTCATTCAAAATTCACAAACACATTAATGAGTGGCCATTTACATAGGTTGCTAACACAACATTGGCATAGGGCAGTCCTCTAGCACAACTAATCTTGATCTGATAAAACAAAAGCGTTTCTCCAAAAGTCATGTTTCCTTTGCGCCTTTGCCCGCTGTCGGCCGCGGTGTGCGTGTGTCCTATGAATCTCCACAGTATAAGGTCAAAGGTCTTTCAAAAGGCTCAGCACCAGGGTCAAAAGCCCAGCACTAGAGCTAAGGGCTTCCTTGGGGAGCAATGTCACCCTCAGAGGAGACATTGGGCTCGGGTGGTGAACCACCCAAAGAGACTACCGCCCAGACAGGGGCAACTGACCCAGCAAGGGGCTGCAATGAGTCGTAAAAGCCTAACAAAAAGAGCGTACACAATTATAATAGAATACAGTACAGAGGACGCCACTTTTAAAGAATCAGAAACATGCAGTCTGAGTTATGTGGACTTGATAATTATAATGATAGTCTACAAGACGAGGTGAATAAAAGCCTTCTTTCCAGATAACATCTTCCTCATTGGAACAGTACTCAACGTGGTCTTCATTTTATAAAGCTGACCATCATGTTGTACTCGCAGACAAGATAGACATAGCTTGCTTGAAAAGAGAGTAGTAGGTGAGAACTATGGCGAATAGCACAGGCTCATGTATAAATTGTGATTTCCCAGCGCTTGGTTCTTTAGTGAGATACTGGAGGTCTTCTAATTTGTTGTTTTAATTTACTAGACAAAGTGTCGGCCGACAATATATTCAGATGATCATCACCAGCCTTCTGAAGTGAATGCGCAAGAAGATACAATTTTCAGCTGTACTGAGTAGGCCGAAAGGATGACGAGATTTCCGAATTCAGGATCAACTTTATAAGCTAGAATTAGCGGATACGCGGAGGGGGGGGGATCGCTTAGGTGATTCTCAATGGATAACCAAAGAAAGCAAATCTCGAGCAATAACGTTTTGAATCCCATACCTGGATGAAAAAAGATATGTGACGATATGAGATACGGTTTGTTTTTGTTGATACGGAAAACGGTAACAGCATTTAGCCTTAGAGGTAAAAGGGATTAATGTCGTTATATATCGTTCACGACACGGCCTTACTATGGTTCAAGTTCTACTTGGTCACCAGGACACACATTGTGTCTGCAAATGGAAAACACTCCAGACCAGTTGATCTATGCAGTGGTATTCCACAGGGGTCTGTTATTGGACTTGTTCTATTCATTCTGTACACTCAGCCACTCTCAAGTGTCATAGCTAATCATCCAGTGTCTCACCAATTGTATGCTGATGACACTCAAATATGCTGATGACACTCAAATATACAAATCTAGCCATCCAGCTGAATTTGAAGCTACCATCCAAGACATAAAGAGGTACATTTCTGATGTGAAATCATGGATGACATGTAACAAGCTGCAGATAAATGATGATAAAACTGAAGCCATACTGATTACAAAACAGACTTTCTCATTCACATCCTTTACCTCAGACAATAAATATTATCAACACCAACATTAAATTCAAGCAGTCAGTACGAAACATCGGTCTCACTCTTGACAGTACTCTCTCATTACATCAACATGTCATGAACATTTCCCGGGCTGAATATCTTGAGCTGAGACGCATCAGCTCCATTCGCAAGTGTCTGTAAGTTGATGCCACAAAAACATTTGTGTGTTCCTTATTACTTTCAAGACTGGACTATTGTAATTCAATTCTGTCTGGTTCATCTCAATATCTACTTCAGAAACTTCAAAAAGTTCAAAACACTGCTGCTAGAATCATCCTTAGAGTACCACCATCAGAGCATGCCTCTCCACTGGCTATCCATACGATCCAGAATTAAACACAAAATTAGTTCTCTGTGCTACGTTTCACTGACGGGCTCCAGTCCAACATACCTATCTGACCTCACCCATGTGTATACACCTGCAAGATGCTTACACTCCTCTTCTGACACTCGCATTCTCAATATCCCCACTATGAAGTTGAATTCATACGGACAACTTTCTTTTGCACACAAGGGCTCAGCAACGTGTAACGAATTGCCCGCTGCACTTAGACACAAAGACACAGTGATCTCATTCAAGAGCGCCTTAAAGCCAATCTATTTCAACTGCAAGAACAGTCATAATGACTTAATAGTGTATTCTTTTTAACGTCTATTACCTTAAAAAAATTACAGCATAGTTTCTGTTTCTAATTTTGTGGTGTTTGTTTTTAAGTTTTGTAATCATTTTATTATATGTGGTTTGCTTTTCCTATTATTTTTTAAGCGTTGTAAAATGTAAAGCGCTTAAAGCTTCTAAAGATTAGGCGCTATATAAAGTCCTGGTTATTATATATATATATATATATATATATATATATATATATATATATATATATATATATATATATATATATATATATATATATATATATATATATATATATTTATATATATATATATATATATATATATATATATATATATATATATATAGAGAGAGAGAGAGAGAGAGAGAGAGAGAGAGAGAGATAGATAGATAGATAGATAGATAGATAGATAGATAGATTGCCTTTCACGTTATGCGTCTTATAGATCTTTATGTTAAACCAATAGACATTTGTTGTTATTACATTTCGGGCTAAGTATAAAGGTGTGTAGAATTCTTTTTACTTGTCGATCCTGCTTAATATGTAAGACGCATCTGTTGCTCTACTAAATTATCTTTTATCACGCATGACTGCATACATAATAGAGAATGCCGTTCAAAAGTATATTCCACCTTAGAAGTTTAAGAGATCGAGATCTACACCTTGAGGACACCGCTTCCATGCCTTATTGGGTAGAGCGTCCGCCTCGGATACGGGAGGTCGTGGGTTCGATTCCCGGCTCATTCAAACTAAAGACTTACAAAACTGGTACTAAAAGCTGCCTCGCTCGGCACTCAGCATTAAGAGATTAGTGTTAGGACTGGTAAGCCTGGTGTCAGAAAAATGTGACTAGGTGAGAGATCATGCTACATTTCTACGACATGATGCCCCAGTGCTAAACATCACTATAAACTGCCACACTGCATACATCGTAGCGATAAGACTGAAAAATTGTTAAAACTACGTTAAATATAATAATCACATCTATATAGTTGACATTTATTGTTAGACTACATCGATGACCTTTGAGCTATAAGCGTATCATTGAAGACAAACGTTAGGAAGATATACCTACTTGCATCACCTAGAGACTATTTTTCTTTTGCCGCTTGAGGACGTAATAATTCCGATTACCAGTACATACACAAACTAGGGCAACATCAAAATAAATGGAGTGTAAAAGGATTAACTCTGAATTGTCATTCTAGTCGAGATATTGATTTTGATGTCGAGTCTTGTTAAGGTTAGTATTTGCATGCCAAAACGGTGAAATTTTAAAAGATTGTACATTTGTCATCAGACCATGTAATCACGCGTCAGTCAACATTTAGAGAAAATATATCAAATCTGCGATAAATGGAGACCTCCCGATCACAGCAATTAACTCACCGGCACACCAATTTTTAAATCAAAAGACAAAAAAGCAAAGAGTTCAAAGACAGAACGTTCATAATGGGTACATACGTTGACCAATAATGGTGCATTCCACACAGAAAAATCCTGACCTCTTTTTCCCAAGTTTAATCGGAGCTGAATGGGGTAATAGATCATTCAGAGTGGTGACGTACGCTGCAACGTGAGCGATGCTGCACACACTTGCCTTTCTACTATCAAATGCGAATTTGTTTTGTGCGCCTTTATGGATTCCATCCATACACTCAAACCACACTCAAAGTAGAAAAAATGTTTCTCTTGGTTTTGCCAGTTTATTGTGGTTTTGAAATTCGACTGCAGACGTTCAAAAGAAAATGAAATGGCTTAAATATCTTGAAGGACCTGCACCAAAATCTATTAGCTCTCACAGACGAAGTTAATAAGTGACGTCAATGGTTTTTCTGAATGATCTATAAAATTAGAGATTGGAAAACAAAGAAGATAGCAATTATTTTGTGACACGACACTTCCACGACCATCTTATAAGATTTGTCATGACATTAAGTCTGCCGTCATAGACACACCCTAATCCAAAGTGAATACACACATTGGTTTAATTTACATAAATGGAAGAGCCACCACAACAGTTGACACTTCTGATGACAGATTTACAAGGAATCTTTTGAACTTACACTTGGAGAAAAATTCCTGTAGAAATCCAGGTTACTACTCTAAAGATAAAGTCAAGATACTTGTTTTGTTTGTCAAAATTTAGGATACCGGACTCACAACGTCCACAATGTAAAAGAAAATAAACATTCAATAAAGGAGAAAAGAAAGAAAACTGTAAAATGCATGTTATCATTATGAAAAGAAAATGACGTTAGTATACAGAGAAACCCTGTAAACTTGAAACAAAAGAAGCAGGCAAAGAAGACACAGAAGAATCCATTACAGCAAAGAAATTTAAAGCAAGACAAGCAGAAGGAACAGATTGGAACAGATTTGTTGATTGGTTTGTTGGTTTAATATTTACGCCGCACCAGCACTGTCAGGCTATTTAGCGCCATACAAAAGGTTATATCTAGAATCATTTAAAGGTGGTAAAAGTCTTCGTATCGATCAGCTGAAAGTAAAACGATAAAATAGTTACGGTGATCAATAAATAAAGCTTCATGAACAATGGGGAGTGTAAATGGTGTATGATAAGGAAAATAGACGAAAGGTAATTCAAATTTAGGGACTGAATATATAGTACATAAAACTGATCAAGGTCATATCATAAAAGCTATATCTTATGACAAATGTTTACTTCCTTCAAGAAGTTTGTAATACAAAACACGGTCACTGCATCAACGAGCTCCCTAATGTCGTGCACATTGAAATACTGAACATGCTTAAGTTGGAGGTCGAAACACTCTAACATAGAGTGCTTAACTTTGAATGGTTCAATGCAAGAAATGCACTCTGGTGGATCATCTCCATTTAGTATGTGGGAGTGGGTTAATTAAGAATGACCAATTCGAATTATTGCAATGACGCCTTTTTACGGATGGCTCTGTAAGGAGTCCAATCCCTTATGGTTGGCTTGATGGCATGGAGTTTGTTATTCACGGCATCATTCCATGATGCCTGCCATTTCTAATGTAAGGAGTCTTTGATACTAAAAGTTTAAAATCAGTGTACGGTATTTTAAAATCAGAAATGTTCTAATGAAATGGCTATTTTGCAGCGCATTCTGCTTTTTTATTATCTTTAATGACAATATGACTGGGTAACAAACAGTATAATATATTGTATACTCAGTTTAGTATGTTTCAGGAGAATATTGGCTAACAGTGGATTCTCCAGTTTTCTGTTAACTAGTGACTGAAGTACTGATAGTGAGTCGGAGAAGATGATGTTTAAAATACGTTTGTTTTCAATATAATACAGAGTAAGGTCTATTGCACTGATTTCGGCTGAAAAAAAATTGAAGTGCCATTTGGCAAACGACCTTTTCTGTGTGTTTTCCACTAACGGAGGCTGCAGCAACCGTTTCATCATATTTTGATCCATCAGTATAAATTATTGTGTAGTTTTCAAATTGGGTGAGGAGTTCAAGATAAGAGTTTTGGAAGATTGAAGGGTTTATCTCTGATTTTTTTCTGTTATGTAACGGAGAATGCAAATATGTGAAAAAGCTTGCCAGTAGTCTCTCGTGGGTCGGTGGTTCTTTCCGGGGGTTTCCAGGTTTCTTCCTCCACCATTAATAATGGCCGCCATGTATTGTGTGCTGAAAAATGGCGTTAAGCCCCACAACAACAACAATCTATCGTGTAACGTAAAAAGTATTTTTGGTTGCTTGAGTAGCCATGGAGGTGTTTCGAACATAGACGTTTTCTGAATTTTTGAAAGATCAATTTTGATACTGTCAAGGCAGGGTGATATTCTAATTCCAAAGGATGATATGGCGTTTGGTTTACTTTCGGATAAGGTCTTGTATTTGGGTTGAAAAACAGCAGACTTCAGGGGGTTTGATTTTAATTTGAGAGCATACTGTGTGGAAAGCATTTCTCAACCGTGTGATAAAGGTGGTTCGTTCGCTTCATCGAGTAGGCATTCACTCGGGGATGTCTTAAATTCTCCCAGAGCGAGTCCTATTCCTTGATGATGAATTGGGTCAAGCATCTTCATATATGACTACCTAGCTGAACCATAAACAACGCAGCTATAGTTTAGTTTTGGAGTGAATAAACGTTCTATATAGAATGAGGATGATTTTTGCATCAGCTGCCAGTCAGTGTGCGCTACTACTTTAAGTAAATCTAGAGATTTCAAGCATTTAGATTTCAAATTCTTCAGGAGTGGAATAAAAGTTATTTGTCTGTAATACCTAAAAACTTTGTTTCCTTAGCAACTGGAATAGGTGTTCCATCCAGCGGAGTTTAGTTTCATCATGCTGCCTTTGTAGCAGACAGAAATGCATGCATACTGTTTTTGATTTGGAGCATTTGTAACCCTTAGTATTGATCAAATTTTGAATGTAGATATTCTGCTGTAGTTGTCTTTCAATTCTATGCATGTGCTTTGATCGATAACATATTAGAAAGTCATCAACGTATAAAAACAATCCACACCAGGAGCCAAATACTTGGTAATACTATTGAGTTTTATGTTGAAAAGCGTCACAGATAAAATGCTACCCTGAGACACACCCATCTCTTGTTCTTTCATATCAGAAAGGGTGGAGACTAATCATACCTTGAATTCTCTGTCTGTGAGAAAGCTTGATATGAAAGAGGTCAGAGAGCCTTTTTGACCCAGATCTAGTAGGTCGTTTAGTATTCCGTATGTTCATGTTGTATCAAAGGCCATTTCTAATTCAAAGAAAACCGCCACTAAATGTTCCTTCTTGATAAAAGCGTCGCGAATATATTTTTCCAGTCTAACCAGATCATCATTGGTGCTACGACCATAAAGTAAGCCACTTTGGAAAGGAGATATTAAATTGTTAGTTCCCAAATACCGTGCAAGCTGAGAATTGATCATTCGTTCCATTGTTTTGCATTCCCAGCTAGCCAGTGATATGAGTCTATAGAAGGTAAGATTTTTTTTGGAATTGGTATTACTGTTGCTTCTTTCCAAATGTTTGGTACATTACCTGTAGTCCATAAATCATTGAAGATTTTCAGAACTGATAATGATGGTTCAGGGAGATATTCCAAAAACTGGTAATGTATATCACCAGGCCCAGCGATCTTGAGTCTTATTCAAAGATTATATTAGCTCCAACAGTGAAAACGGTTGATTATAACTTTCTTAGTTATTTTGAATTTCAACTGTGTCTTTTCTTTTAAGCTTTTCATCTCCGGAAAGCTTATGAATAATTAGATGCTGATGACTTTTAGAGAAACAATCAGCAAGTATATCACCTATTTCATGTTTGCTATTGAAATTGTTGCTATTTTCAGATGTCGGAAAGAATTGTTTCCACTTTCTGTTTATTTTGCGTGCCCCAAACTTTCTTTATAGAGAAATGATAATTAAAATTTGAAACATGATTTTTCACATGATGCTCTTTTACTTTCTTTAATCGTGCGGCAAACTTATTTTGGCCCGAACAATACTGGACTTAGTTAAACTTTTGGGTGTTGGACGATTATCAAAACATTTTAGTGCTTCTCGGCGTTGTCTAATGGTTTCTTTACATTCTTTGGTGAATCACATATACGTGGCGGACAGTATTCAAATGGTGGGGAAACAGACTCGACCCCAGGGCAAGGCGAACGAGGCAACCACCTTGAGCCCCGCGCTCTTCACAATGCACCTTTTTGGGCTTAGGGACACGTGCTAATCGCTTGCTGCCTTGGGCCCCGGACAACATACTGGATGAAG